AACAAGCAAAGAGTCAGAAGCGAAACAAGAAGTATTATGGCTAGAAGAAAGGCAAGAAGTAACAGGGGTCTGATCACTACATGAAAACGGGAAGAAGAACGGACATATAACCAGATTACGACCGGTGACATTAGTATAGGTACTCTGCGCTGGCTGCTGAATATGGAGACGGAGCACGCATGGGAATGTCCCGAGTGCTGTGATGTCAATTCTTGACTCAACTCTAATGATCCCATCGTGAAAATGGGAACACTGCAGCAATTCATAACATCGGATAAATGTATGTTAGAAGTGACTGAAAGTACATTAGACATGAAACTGAAAGGTATGATGAAATCACTAATGGAAAACTAGTTGGTTTGTTAATCCACGGATCATTCTCACCGTACATCGGACAAGCCATGATTCCATCTTCACCATCTCCATCGCCACTAAAAACACCACTTCTGAGTTGGTTTACTGTTTTGGCTACCTGTATAGCACTAATATTATTTAGCAACACTTTGTGTGACATGAAGTTCCTGTGGTCGTGCCAAGGTTGCTGATTCACCGTCGTCTCTTGAATCATCTACTTATCCTGCCTCCTTGCGAGTACATACGCCTTGGTCCATTGCTTTTCCTATATTTACTGTGGCCCTGTCGACCTGAGAGGCTCCAACCATTTATTTCAACCTCATGCTGTTTCTTTCTGTGTAAGCATGCTCACACAAATAAAGAAGATATGACACTCGATTCCTACTGGATATATTAAGCATAGAGACACTGAGATGTGTTTAGAATGTCAGTTCGGACAAGTGATAAGGTAAGCATTTTCATAGAATAAATTAGAAAGCACACATGGGGAAAAACTAATGGACAACTAAATCATTTCCAGTGAATCAAAAGGTGAGGAAAAGACGTTGGTTTTGGATAGAACACACACTGGGGGGGGGGGGGGGGCGACTAATAAATAATATAACTAGAATGTGCTTGCATTTGAGCCTATGGGGCCAAAGGAATGAAGACAGAGGGAGACGCCCACACACACGAAGAAGGGCATTATGGTTATGATGAAAAGGATACGAAGAACATATGGTGGTCTGCACGCGATACAATGATATCTATAGCTTGGAAGATACCTACAAGATAAAAGGTTGTGGACACACATGACTTCCAACGTCACACACAACGAAATTTAATTTGTGTATGTTCCCCTCTGGTTTCGGCCGTAGACAGGCGTACGTTGATTTCGATAGGGGTTTTTAGAGCCGACCGTTACATATCAACTCTTGATCCGTTAAGGTCGTGAAGGTGTATCGATGGAAACACTAGCATTCAAAAACCGCTATCTTTCTCTGTCTTCCACTTGATGTGTAAGCGTATGATAACTTAGTCTTGTCCATTTCTCGATGTTGCCATTCTAGGTTCTTCTTTTCCCTCCTCTTCTTCGACTACCTCCCCCCCCCCCCCCCCCCCCCCCCCCCCCCCCCCCCAAATGTTCCTTGAAGTACAGTCTTTGCAACTGAATCTCTTCTCGCCACGTGCCTGAACCAAGCTAGCTTGTGTCGTTTCACCACTGCCAAGAGATGCTCCTGGTGTGCTGTAAATTTGTATATTTTGTCTCTAACATATTTGCTAGTTTTGTGTTTTAAATAACCACAAATGCGTCTGCAACATTCACATTCGAAAGCCCGAATCATTATTTCCATTTCCACTGTGAGAGTCCAACTCTCACATCTGTATAAGAAAATAGACAATACTAAGTTGAACTGAGTTGATTCAAGAACCGACATCACAGCACTCGGGGCATTCCTATAGGCGCTCCGTCCCCATCCTCAGCAGCCAGTGAAGAGTTCCGATACTAATGGTGCCAGTTGCATTCATGATTAAACGTCCGTCTTCCCTCTCCTCTGGGCCTAGAGCATCTTCCAGAACCTCTCGTCACTCCCCGCTGCATCAATCTCACCAGACTGTGGTGATCCATCTGTTCCTACGAACTGTACACGCTCTCCCACAAGGCACTAAACACGTCTGCCTTATCATGCATCGGTATTCCACCAAGTTGTGCAGAGCCAGCCAGTCTGTCCACCTGTTCAGAACACACCGACGTTTTCCGGTGAAAAAATGCAGACAATATTCCTCATCCCTGTCCTCCGCAGCGAAGCATGCCTCTCTGCGCGAAGTATGCCTGTCCTGACCTTCCTCGGCAGGTTTTCTGAGTCTGTTACAATCACGATGTGTGTGTGGTGTAAAACAATACCACTGATTTGTATATATTGACCTTAACTGCGATGCTGATTTTACTTTTCAAAATCATATTCAGCGACTGTTAAGTACTCTGTTAAGTAGTATTGGCAAAGGCCATGGTGTAGCGGCTAGACGCTCGCGTATGGATCAGAGGTCATGGGTTCGCTCCTTAGCGGAGCTGGACTTTTGTCAAAAACGACTTTGGCTTCCAGATCGACCCAGCCTTAAGTGGGTACCGGGTACAGTCCCTGGAAGTAAAGTAGAACTTCTTGTGGAAGTAAAAGCGGCCAGCGTGATGCTGACCACATCACCCATCTTGTACCTACTGGTCTATAAAAATATAGGTCTAGTCCTATATGCCCTATACGCCTAAAAGCATGGAAAAGGAACTTTCACTTTTTTAAACTGATCGTAAAATCGCCTTTGTAGAGCCAAGACAGAAGACAAATGCTGGGGTTGGTTCTGCAACGTCATGTAAAGGATACGCAACTAACTAGAGCCAAGACAGAAGACAAATGCTGGGGTTGGTTCTGCAACGTCCTGTAAAGGATACGCAACTAACCAGAGCTAAGACGGAAGACAAATGCTGAGGTTGGTTCTGCAACGTCCTGTAAAGGATACGCAACTAACCAGAGCTAAGACGGAAGACAAATGCTGAGGTTGGTTCTGCAACGTCCTGTAAAGGATACGCAACTAACTAGAGCCAAGACAGAAGACAAATGCTGGGGTTGGTTCTGCAACGTCCTGTAAAGGATACGCAACTAACTAGAGCCAAGACAGAAGACAAATGCTGGGGTTGGTTCTGCAACGTCCTCTAAAGGATACGCAACTAACTGACAAATGCTGGGGTTTGGTTCTGCAACGTCCTCTGTAAAGGATACGCAACTAACTAGAGCCAAGACAGACAAATGCGTTGGTTCTGCAACGTCCTGTAAAGGATACGCAACTAACCAGAGCTAAGACAGAAGACAAATGCTGGGGTTGGTTCTGTAACGTCCTCTGGAACTGCAGTCTGAATGATTAACAACAAACATCCCATGGATGGGAAGAAAACAAGGACAGATCCTATAAACATTCTTCTTATTTTTTCTTCTCTCATATCTTTTTAACTTCACTCTCTCGCTCTGTTTTCTTGGTTTTATAATTTTTTTTTTAAATTGGGGGTCGGGGGATGGAGGGGTGTTCGCCTTTATAGTGGTGGTGCTCTTTGAGGGGTAGTCAAGAGAGACGTAAAATCGGCGCATCATGCGTTCATTGGGCCTCTGGGTAGGAATCTATGAACGCATGATGCGTTCCTTGGGACTCAAAGAGTTAATTCGACAAGGATGAGATCAAACAGTAACAGGTCACAGAAACCCGGTGCAACAGTTTTAAAGTAAAAGTATTAAATATATATATATATATATATATATATATATATATATATATATATATATATATATAGAGAGAGAGAGAGAGAGAGAGAGAGAGAGAGAGGGGGGGGGGGGTTAAAGGTCACACACTGAAAATAGGAAGGTCTTGGATGGCACAAGCTGAAAACGCAGCTAGACATGTATGGATGACTAATAGTAATATTTCTGGCGAGGAGAGGAGTGGGTCAAACTTGCTTGTGTAGGGTTCTAATCACTTTAGGCCGTGAGCGCAGGGACTGGCCAGTTGGTGTTGCATAATCAGAAGTTCAAAAAAAGGATTTGTGACAATTGTCGTCCAGTTGATGTAATTATCTGTACAGGAGGCTCTATGTTGAGAAGTAAACGAAGTACATAGGGTTTCATAGCAAAAACGAATGGACATCGCTTGATGCAACAAAATCTGGCATATGATATAACAACATATAGTTTTAGAATGGAGGTGGAGGTAGTCACTGCAGCTTTCCGCTGGCTTGAGAACTAGCTTACATACATGACGTGATTGTAACTGATTCACAAAGCAGGTGAGAAAAGTTAAAAGTATGATCCGTGCAGAGTGGCAATCATTGTTTCAGCGGTCCCGGGTGGTTGGTATCCTTTGGGTATTTTCTCCATGTCTTGCCAGTGTGTTGGGAAACGAAGTCAAACAGACTGGCTGGTTCTACGCCACTTAATGGTGAATTTATGTGTGACAAGCTAGATTATACAGGGATTTTTTTAGGAGCCAGTGAACAGTGCGGGAATGCAAATAAATCATCACGGTCTATAGAAAATTGTGCTGCGAGAAGTTACCAGTAGATCTGGCTGACGCTCAACAGTCAATGAAAAGGTGAGACGGATATACAATCAGACAGTTACTGGTGCCATCTGAACTGGAACTCTGAGTATGCTGCTGAAGATAGGGCCGTAGCGCTTATGAGAATGTCAAGAGTGCTGTGATGTCGATTTTTAATTCAACGTTCAACAAACGGTTTTATTGGGTCCTGTCCAATGAAAAAGAAAAAGAAGAAGAAGAAGAAGAAGTAGAAAAGGGAGGAGGAGGAAAAGAAGATGAAAGAGGAGAAGAAGAAGAAGAAGAAGAAGAAGAAGAAGAAGAAGAAGAAGAAGAAGAAGAAGAAGAAGAAGAAGAAGAAGAAGAAGAAGAAGATTATGATTATGCCGGGCTCTGGCTAAAATGTTGAAGAACACTGCTCTAAAGACGCAACAATTTTGCTAGCGGAAGTAGGAGCTAGCTCCCCTTGTAGAATCCTGTCATAGGTAAAAATACCAACACTAGCAGATAAAACTGGACGTTTTCACTCATTCTTTGGCCACAGACCCTCAGGAAAAACACATTTAGTGAGAGATTCCAGTCTCAGCTTCGCTATGATCAAATTATTTTCATTGAAACAGCAAAAGAAGGACGGCGAGAATGCCCCAGACCGAACCAAGCGAGCTTCTGCTGCCCAGTTACGAGTACAGAAAGGTAAATATTTCATATAAGTATTAAAAGCAAAAAATTGAAATATGTAATTTTTTTTAGATGGTTGTAAAGTAGTGGCTTAAGATTTAATTATGACTGTTTTATTTATAATCCTTGTTATATGATCGAATATAATTCCTAGATAACTGTTCTTCTTTCGTTTCCATAGTAGGAGAAGAAAGTGTTAATCAGTAACTTAAGTAACTAGCAGTACTAGTAGCAGTAACTAGTAGTACTACTTGCAGTAACTAGTAGTACTATTAGCAGTAACTAATAGTACTAGCAGCAGTAACTAGTAGTACTAGTAGCAGTAACTAGTAGTACTAGTAGCAGTAACTAGTAGTACCAGTAGCAGTAACTAATAGTACTAGCAGCAGTAACTAGTAGTACTAGTAGCAGTAACTAGTAGTACCAGTAGCAGTTACTAGTAGTACCAGTAGCAGTAACTAGTAGTACCAGCAGCAGTAACTAGTAGTACCAGTAGCAGTAACTAGTAGTACCAGTAGCAGTAACTAGTAGTACCAGTAGCAGTAACTAGTAGTACCAGTAGCAGTAACTAGTAGTACTACTTGCAGTAACTAGTAGTACTATTAGCAGTAACTAATAGTACTAGCAGCAGTAACTAGTAGTACCAGTAGCAGTAACTAGTAGTACCAGTAGCAGTAACTAGTAGTACCAGTAGCAGTAACTAGTAGTACCAGTAGCAGCAACAGTAGTTTCTGTCAGAAGTTAGCAATTCGCATTCTCTATCTACATCATAAAATTGGAAAAGCTAGAGGGCTTTCCTCCAAACTTCTACCCCAGCCAAACAAATACCCTAACAGGGCCTCAGTCCTATGAAAAATGCGGACTTCCTGCAATGAACAAATCGCAGCAAAACTAGGATTACCTGATAATTTCAAGAGATACAACACTGCAGATGATAGTAGCAGACGATAATAGCGACAGTCGACAATTTCGAGACACGCAACATTACAGATGATAAAAGTGACATAACGGGGATACGGCGCGCTCCGACGCAGATTAGCGATACTGTTTTTCTGATTGAGGATTTAACAGGGGTAGAAGTTCGGAGGAGAGCAGTATTTCTCTTCATTATCATTCTCACACTTTTTGGCATGCGCAAAACGCTATTAAACTCACCGCCGACAGTATTCCCCCGTGGCGTGGATGGGGCGCTAAACTGGGACTCAGGAGCAAATAAATTGGAGGAAGTTGCAGGAGATGCGGTAGCTACTGTCCCAGCCACCTAGTTTAGCACACCCCCCCCCCCCCCCCCCCAATCAGTATACTGTCGGTGGTGAGGCATAGTCACAGAAATAGGTCCAAAATTAACATATCGCTGAGACCCTGTTAGAGCATTTGTTTCGTTTTTCTGAGCCAATCCTAGTTTTGCCGCTATTTGTTCCTCGGCAGGAAGTCCGACATGTCCACAATTTCTCATAGGACTGAGACCCTGTTAGGGTATTTGTTTGGGCGCCATAATGCCGGGGTAGAAGTTGGGAGGAGAGCCAGCTTGATTATGTAATGAGAACAGACCAGTTAAAAAAGGGGGTGGGAGGCGATGAAGGGAGACCAAGTGTGAAGATGGATAGTTTGACAAAATGGTATGGAATCACTGCATCATCATCAGGTGCCTTGCTGACTGGCGTGGGCCATCATGCCTCTCCACAATCCGCAATCTCCTGCAACATGTATCAGTTCATGTGCTGACACGAGTGTGTGTTGCCATGCAACACGACTGTCAAGAATCTTCTCTTGTTGTCTTCCTCTATCCTTCCTTCCACAGATCTTTCCAGTGGTCACAACAAGTTCAATTTTCCATTTTCTCATAACATGGCCGAAAATTATGACTGTCTCCTCCTGATGTCTGTGATAAGTTGTCTTCGGGCTCCGGCCATTTTCAATACCTCTTGGTTGCTCTTTTTGGCTGTCCAATGTATTTTAAGCATTCTGTATACTGTATCGTAAGTGACTGACAGTGTACATGAGCCACAAGGGTGTGGACAGACATGATAACCAATGCCACTCGGTCTGGACTAGAAAAATAAAGTAATGTTTGCTGTCCTGGGTCCCCATTAGGAGATAAAAGAATAGATTCGCTACCCCCTAACAAGCAATTTTTAATTAGGGGTGTTTCCTTTGAAGTCAGAGTGCATCTGCCTGAGAAGAGAGAACCAACATGGTTCGGAATAACTCGGATCTGTAATATGGAGGTGCATGCAAAACTCCAGTTCTGGAATAAGACCAAAGACTAGAGGTGGATGCACAAGAAGAACATTCTACCGGAGTTTACAGCCGGTGAGCACGAAGAAGAAGTTAATGTATCCTTTACAAGTTTTAGATATTTCTTTCTCAGCCTAAAGTCTGACCTAAGAAAAACATAAGTATTGGGTGACATGCTGTGATCTCTACCACTGAGGCTTAGGGAAAATTCCACATCTTCTTAAAAAAAAAAAAAACTTGTTGGTTAAAAAGAGTACACTTTAAATGCTGTTTTAGTATATGTATTCACATCCTGACATTTCAAACATTTGTGCAGGTGTGAAAACCACCAACAGCATTAAAATATACATATCGCAAACAAGTCGTTATAAAGTTTTTTTTGTGTTTTTTAAATATCCAAAAAACATGAGTTCTTAACCTTTTGGCTCGGTATATCACAACCCTTCGGCCTTGATTCCATGATAAATACCATAAATCAGGGAGATTTTTGGCTTTTCTGCCTACCCCCAGGCATTAACCCGAAAAACAAGGAGTTTGTCACCCTGTTGTCGCAAAGTCAGAGGCAGGTTTTTAGCCAACTACGCTAGCATGCCAGGCATTATAGGCAAGTTGGAAAAGTGTTTATTGTCAAGAATTGGATGCAACCTGGAAGTGTCCGTTTTGCGGCTTAGTACTAACCATTATGTCATCCCAACCACCCAACTAAAGGACTTTATATCCATGCCAGGGTGGACCGGCTATATGGTGCTAAATCCATATTCATATAAACAGTCAGTACTCAGTGGGTGACGTGGTTAGCATTACCCTGGCCACCTTAACTTCACAGGAATGTCAGGTTGTTTCAACCTGGAAGCCAAGGTAAGTTATAAACATCTGTCTCAGTATGGTTCTAAACCTAGGACTGATAGAGACAGACACTTAGCGACTGAACTTCTGCGTGCCAGACTCCGCCTTATTTTCTTTATGTTTGTGCATAAGACACTTTGATATCAGAGCTTTCCAAACTGTGTAGCAACACAATAATGTGTTGGCTGCAGTGTAAAGAAGTGTTACATGAACATAACATGTTAAACAGAATAATCGGCAAGCAACATTAAACTTTAACCTGATTTGCCAGTTGACTGAATTACTGAGCCAACAAAATTATGATTGTCTGAAAAGTGCATGACCAACAGGAAAGTTTGAAAAGCTCTGCTTTATGTTATTTATTTTAATGTTTCCAGACATAAACGAGCTCAACTTACCAAAGACTTGCCAGGTTGACTTCCCTGATCCAGATGACCTTCTCAATTTCAAGGTTATCATTTCACCCGATGAGGTATGAACTTTTTTTGTGTTTATCCTTCATTCTATGCTTGCTGTAGATTTTTCTTTAATAATTCTTCTCCTGGTTCTTTATGTATAAAGGATCTGTGTGGCGATTTGGCAGATTTCAAATTCACTACTGTAGAATTTTTGTTTCTGGCAATCAGTACCTTTAATTTTTAATGCACCTGATGAGATATAGTAAAAAATGGTTAGTTGCGTATCCTTTACAGGACGTTGCAGAACCAGCCCCAGCAGATCCTGGCTGTTGTGTGGTTTTTCTAGGCAAATTTACGTCCAGTAGTTTGCTACTGCTTTCTGGGTGGTCGGCCCCCTGACACCACTGTTGAAACCAACGCAAGGCGCATGGCCTATAGCTGGGATCAAACCCGGCACCCCGGCATTACAAAGCGTTACCATCGACTTAGCCACAGAGCCGACTATAGCAAAATATACCAGGCAATAAATTGTGCAGTCTATTGTTTGTGTCTTATTTGGTGAAATCTCTGGATACAACGTATTTTTTTTTTTAAGGTGGAGACAGAAATGTGTGTATTATTCATCCATCACAAGTGATGACCACTTTCATCCAAAGTAGCTGGATGAAAGTGACTTGCGCAAAGACTTGGATTTAAGGGAGGAAGAGTTGTACAATCCGTCCACCTCACTCTATTGCCTATGTCAATCTTGAATAAATGGCAGGAAAGTGTCGAGACAATTGAAAATGGACCTAGGTGCAGTGGATGACCAAGGTATCTTAAGTGCCCTGCCTTGCGCGAATGTCTCCACAGACCAATAAGAGGTTTCATCCACACAGTACGCCAAGTCTAGTCTTTGCATGCAGGGTAGGCATATCCCAATCACCGAGTGGTTTAGAACCAGGTCCGCTACCCTCTCCTGGTTTAGCCAGCCCGTCAAAGCTGCCTGAGGGTTGGCGGCTGTCGCATGCTGACAGCTGCTGGGAGCCACAGAAGAGTGCTGTGTGCCACTTTGCCCAATGTTGGTGAACTGCTCTAAGAAGGACTTGATGGTCACCTTGCCAGAGCGGCTGCTAGTATCTAACACCCCAGACAGACGCACTATGTACGTAGTGGTAAGGATCACTTCAGGTGACCCGGGCAGTTAGCATCCTTTGCATATTTTCTCTGGGGCGTTTAGAAGTGTTGAGAAATTAACAGACAGATTGGCTGGTTCTGCCCAATGGGTGGTAAATTTATGCATGCATTCAAGTCCGTTTGGGAGCAATCCTGAGGCATTAAGAGATCATCATGTTCTGGATAGAATGGTACATCTAGGAGTGACCAAGGGATCTGGTCTGAACTCAGCACTCACCAGGGGATCAGGTCGACACTGTGGACTCACCAGGGGATCTGTTCTGAATTCAGCACTCACCAGGGGATCTGATCAACATTCTGCACTCACCAGGGGATCTGATCAACACTCTGCACTCACCAGGGGATCTGATCAACACTCTGCACTCACCAGGGAATCTGGTCAACACTCTGCACTCACCAGGGGATCTGATCAACACTCTGCACTCACCAGGGAATCTGGTCAACACTCTGCACTCACCAGGGGATCTGATCAACACTCTGCACTCACCAGGGGATCTGATCAACACTCTGCACTCACCAGGGGATCTGATCAACACTCTGCACTCACCAGGGGATCTGATCAACACTCTGCACTCTCCAGGGGATCTGATCAACACTCTGCACTCACCAGGGGATCTGATCAACACTCTGCACTCACCAGGGGATCTGATCAACACTGTGCACTCTCCAGGGGATCTGATCAACACTCTGCACTCTCCAGTGGATCTGATCAACACTCTGCACTCACCAAGGGATCTGATCAACAGTCTGCACTCTCCTAGAGGATCTGATCAACACTGCACTCACCAGGGGATCTGATCAACACTCTGCACTCACCAGGGGATCTGACCAACACTCTGCACTCACCAGGGGATCTAATCAACACTGTGCACTCTCCTAGGGGAACTGGTCAACACTGTGCACTCTCCTAGGGGATCTGATCAACACTCTGCACTCACCAGGGAATCTGGTCAACACTCTGCACTCTCCTAGGGGATCTGATCAACACTCTGCACTCTCCTAGGGGATCTGATCAACACTCTGCACTCTCCTAGGGGATCTGGTCGACACTCTGCACTCACCAGGGGATCTGATCAACACTGTGCACTCATCAGGGAATCTGATTAACACTGTGCACTCAACAGGGAATCTGATCAACACTCTGCACTCACCAGGGGATCTGATCAACACTCTGCACTCACCAGGGGATCTGATCAACACTCTGCACTCACCAGGGGATCTGGTCAACACTCTGCACTCACCAGGGAATCTGGTCAACACTCTGCACTCACCAGGGAATCTGGTCAACACTCTGCACTCACCAGGGGATCTGGTCAAAACTCTGCACTCACCAGGGGATCTGATCAACACTCTGCACTCACCAGGGGATCTGGTCAACACTCTGCACTCACCAGGGGATCTGATCAACACTCTGCACTCACCAGGGGATCTGATCAACACTCTGCACTCTCCAGGGGATCTGATCAACACTCTGCACTCACCAGGGAATCTGGTCAACACTCTGCACTCACCAGGGAATCTGGTCAACACTCTGCACTCACCAGGGGATCTGGTCAAAACTCTGCACTCACCAGGGGATCTGATCAACACTCTGCACTCACCAGGGGATCTGGTCAACACTCTGCACTCACCAGGGGATCTGATCAACATTCTGCACTCACCAGGAAATCTGGTCAACATTCTGCACTCACCAGGGGATCTGATCAAAACTCTGCACTCACCAGGGGATCTGATCAACACTCTGCACTCACCAGGGGATCTGGTCAACACTCTGCACTCACCAGGGGATCTGATCAACATTCTGCACTCACCAGGAAATCTGGTCAACATTCTGCACTCACCAGGGGATCTGATCAACACTCTGCACTCACCAGGGAATCTGGTCGACACTCTACACTCACCAGAGGAAAGGCATGACAGACATGTAATCAAACTGCTGCTAGCAACATCGGGGTTGGAACTCTTTGCTGACTGCTTAAAATAAGGGTGTTTTATTAATATCCTACCCCAAACAGGAGAACACAAAAGAACACGAGAGAAGACTAACCAGATCGAGTGAGAAACGATGTGATTACAAGAACTATTGGAACCATACCCATCGTTAAATTTATTGAGAAGCAAAGAATGAAATGGTTTGGTCACCTAGTGAGAATGGAACCAACGATGCCAGCATCAAGAGCATACAACATGGAAATCGAAACACCAAGAGGCAGGGGAAGACCAAGAAGAAGATGGATTGAAGGAGTCACGGACAACTTGAGAATTCATGACATCGCGGCATATGAAGCGACTGAGCGCGCCCTGGCTCAGTTGCCGATCATCTGATAGACTGCGACGCCTAGCGGCACAAGCAGATTTTGACAAAAGAAGAAGAAGAAACAGGAGAAATCCACATGTCACGGGAGAGTCTAATATTTCAGGGGGTGGTAGACATGCTGCATGCAGTTTGGGACCTAGGCTGCACTCTCTTATGGGATGTAAGTGGGTTGGGGTTAGGATTAGTTCTAGATGTTTTGGGGTCGTTAAAAGCATAAAAAACCAGAAAACCCAGTCTTGCCACCCTCTAAAATGTGACGTCATCTGGGGTAGGATATTAATAAAGAATTTAAATAGGAACTAAGCGCTTCTGGAAATCTCCATGGTGTCGTGATATTAGTTTATAGTTCAACACTCAGCTCAGTTTCTGGATTTGATGCTTCATCTTTGTTTTATTCTCCAGGAATTCTACAGAGGAGGTCGGTTTGTGTTCAGTTTTAAAGTTGGCCAGGGCTACCCGCATGACCCACCGAAAGTGAAGTGTGAGACCATGGTTTACCACCCGAACATAGACCTGGAGGGAAATGTTTGTTTGAATATTCTCAGGTACTCCTAGAATTTATCATAGTGAACTGGTGTTATTTGTTGATGAATCGTTTTCTTATTTTCCTGTGTTTTTTTTTCCTTCTCTTTCTTCTGCTTCATCATCTTCTTCCTCTTCTTTTTCTTTGTTTCTCCTCTTTCTTCAACTTTTTTTTTAAGTATCACTTTCTATTTTTTCTCTTCTATTTATTTTTACTTCTTCTCCAACATTTTCTTCCCTGTTTTTTTTTTTCAGTATCTACATATTTCTTTTTAACGTTATCTTCTTTTTCTTAGCATTCACCTGCTGCAAACCCCAGCGGAAAGTTCTGGTTGTTCGTCCACTTGGAGACCTTGGTCCTATTCCAGTGCTTGAGTTTTGTGTGCACATCCATTTCACAGGTCTGGTTTATTTCTGTGCAGACTGTTGGTTTTTGTGCCTCTTAGGCAGATGCATTTTGACTGAAGGAAATGTCCTTAATTACTAGCCTTATACATAATATTTAGTTGGGGGGTGTTAGTAGTGAATGTATACTTTTCGTCCCCAAAAATGAAACTACGGCACCCACACAGAAATTCTTATTTTTAATCTGCCAGTGTTTATTTTGTGTCTGTACCAGGGCTGGTTACAAGTAGAACAGTGTGCTTCAGGTATTTGCTGATGATGTTGAAACCATGTTCTTGTAGTCCATAACATGTGGTGTTGGTGGTCATCTCTATCCACAACCTTCTGTCTCGTTTGTACTGTTAATCAGTTCAGACACAGATGATCTTTCATGCTGTGGTATCAGACTGTCTACCATCTTCTTTCCACAGCCTGTTTTTCCCTCCAACTTTCCCACTTGAGGTTTTGAACAAGGGATCAACATCATGGCACATGGGTAGTAACCCATAAGTCATAAGTGATCCGTTCTTCTAAGTCAAGTCTGAGTCCAAAGAAGCTCAGCACAGCGCACAAGCTCGGTAGCACTGGCGAGGATCCTGAAACTTTTCTTTTTTTGATTTCCAACTGCCAGGTGATTTATTTTCACACCTTGCAACAATGCACATGGGCATCTGATCTCACTACCTAGAGACCAGAGGGAATTACTAGAAGTCCAAGTTCGCGTGAAAAAATGCCAACCCTTACCGGGGATTGAACCTGGAACCTGTAGCACTCGAGGTGAACACCATGCCTCAAGACAGCGCAGCCTTCCCCCCCCCCCTGCTTTCCCACTGTCATGGTGTGCTCCAGTTTTCTCCTTCTCGTGAACATGAAACCATATTAGTCTAATGAGGCCCCAAATAAGCAAGGAGTTAGACCTGTATTTAAATATATATTTAATATTTTCAGGGAAGACTGGAAGCCCGTGCTCACAATCAACTCTATAGTTTATGGCCTACAGTATTTATTTTTGGTAAGTGAAACCTACAAGAGATTTTTTAAAAATTAATTGATAGATTACTTTTCATTCAGCAAACATCAACATGTTTCTTGTTTATCTCTTCATATTTTTAGTTGGAAGCACCAGCAAGGAGATAAAAATTAGAATTTTGAGAGCATGCATTTTCCCTGTGGCTGCATACGGATGTGAGTCGTGGACTATCTCTCAGTCCTTAAAGAGAATAGGGGCTTTTGAGCTGAAATGCTATAGAAAGATTCTCAGAATATCTTGGACAAAGAAGAGGAGAAATATTGACATCTTAAAAGATCTGAACATCAAGGAAGATTGGCTAATAAACAGCATTCTTTCTCGGAAGCTGAAATATTTTGGTCATATCAAGCGCCACAACGGATTGGAAAAAACTATAGCAGAAGGAGGGGCAGGGGCCGACCGACACGAAGATGGGCACAGGATATAAGTGACTCCTTGAGTATGAAAGTATACGAGGCAGGAGAACTGGCGAGAGACCGAGTTTCTTTCAGGCAGACTGTGATGAGAGCGACGTTCTGCAAAGGACCTGCTACATGATGATGATATTTAGTTGAGGACAAAATAGACTTATGCCTGTTTACAGTTCTGCTGCGATATTTACACCTTTCAGATGATAAATCTGAGTTCTTCCTGTATTCGTTGACTGGATTAGCCTCATCGATGTCTGCATGTTAAAGTCAAGGGGCTATTGTACTGGTTTTTTCCTCATTTGGCTTGGGCTTCTCAACGCAATGTCTAGACACCTGCTGAGAAAAACTTTAGTACTGCTTCCCTGTTTTAGATTTTAACACACATGAAATTGAATGCAAAACTTTTACAAGACAAACAAACTTAATAAAAGCTTTTAAAAATGGTGCAAATAACTGATTTCATAGATTATCGCCTGGCATAATTTGATTTGAAAAATTCAACCCATTTATACAAGATCATCATTTTAGGAATACTATTATACAACAGTGCATGTTGGAAAATGACAGCAGAAATTAGATATAAACTAGTCCAAAGGACCCTTTTCCATGCTTTTAGGCGTAGAGACCTATTATTTTTATAGACCAATCGGCACAAGATGGATGATGTGGTCAGCATCACGCCAGCCGCCTTTACTTCCCAGGACTGTACCTGGTACTCACTCAAGGCTGGGTCGACTTGGGAGCCAGTCATTTAAAAAAAAGACTGGCTCCGCTAGGGAGCAAACCTATGACCTTCTGATCCGCGGCAAGTGTCTATATAAACTAGAGGTTCTTCATTAATGTCTTAGGAGAATCCTGAAGTTATTGTGTCCAAACAAGATCAGAAAATGAAGAGCTGAGAATGAACATGTAAAATCAATGCATCACTGACAAATTTTATCGAAGGAATAAGATGGTGATGGCTTGGGCATGTTTGCAGAATGCCTTGTGATACTTTCAGTGCCAGCTTCTGGTGGATGGCAGATGGGAAAAGAAGAATAGGATTAACTTAGGAAACCTGAATGAATCTGGAAAGGCAAATGTATGTAAACAAAAAAGTACAAGTGAAGGAATTTTTTTCACACCTTCAGGCTTATTGGGCATATAGGGCTAGACCTATATTTTTTTAGACCTATTGACATCGCGTGGGTGATGTGGTCACCATCACGTCAGCTGCCTTTACTTCCCAGGATTGTACCTGGTACCCACTGAAGGCTGGGTCGACCTGAGAGCCAAGGTTATTGTTTAAGAAAGTCCTGCTCTGTCAGAACACAAAACCCACGATTGTCTGATCTACAGGCCAGCTTCTAACGGCTTCACCATGGCAGCTGTCAAAAAGGCAAATAAAGAAATGTAAAATAACAGTGTATACCATAGGCAGAAAAGCAGCAAACTGTACAGTGGAGATCACTTGTGAACATCTTGTGTGTCAGCAGTGACATGAAGGGGATAAAGATATTTGATATAAAAAGTGCAACCCACTTCAGAAATAGAACTACTCAGCTCCCCAGTAAAACACAGTCATCATCTTGTAGCAGGTCCTTTGCAGAACATCACTCTCATCACGGTCTGCCTGAAAGAAACTCGGTCTCTCACCAGCTCTCCTGTCTTGTGTATTTTCATATTCAAGGAGTCACTTATATTCTGTGCCTATCTTTGTATTAGTTGGCCACTGCCCCTTCTTCCTCATACCCTGCCTTCTGCTGTTATTTTTTTTCCAATCCGCTTTGGAGTTTGATATGTTCTTCTTCTTCTTTGCATTCACTGGCTGTAAACTCCGGCGGAAAGTTCTGGTTAATTGTCCACTTCTGGACTCTAGTCCTGTTCCAGAAACTGAGTGTTGCGTGCACATTCATTTCACAGGTCTAACTAATTTGCATGCAGACTGTTGGTTCCTTGCCTCTCAGGCAGATGTACTCCGACTTTGAAGGAAGCTCCTAATTAGTCAACTCCTACGACATGCCTTTGGGCAGGCATTGGGTCTCTTCTTGTTCTCCCCACAATGGGGCCCCACACAGGGAAAAGCGCTTGTTATAGCCAAAATATTTTAGCTTCTGAGACGAGATGCTGTTTATTAGCCAGTCTCCTTTATGTTGAGATCTTTTAAAATGTCAATATTTCTTTTCTTCTTTATCTATGCTAATCTGGGAATCTTTCTATAGCATTTCAGCTCAACTGTGTTCAGAAATATCTAGTATATTTTGTTTCTTTCAAGTTCTCTGCTAGCGATGATAAACTTTTCCTGATACATGCTCCTAACATTCCATGTTCCCAACTTTAGCCCTGTGAAAGATGTTGTAGGACCCTCGGGCTTATGGCCGAAAACACAGTCACAAAAAAACAAAAGAAATGCCATCAAATGCATACAATAAAATGTGTCACATATTTTACAGATAACAAAAATACATGAATTATGTTGCCTGAAATGTAAGCACACCACACTGGAATACAGGGCTATTCAACTGGCAGCCCACAAAGACCTAGCAAGGGGCTCGCGGATCATTGCCAGTTGTGTTAATGATCTTTCTGTGCTGGGCCCTGGGCCTCTGGCCAGTGACAATCTCCAGTTTCAGAATGTTGGCCGCTGAGTAAAGTTAGCTGAATTACCCTGGTCAAATATAAGCTTACAGCTCTCTTCCTCTTTATGTTCACTGGCTGTTTGCTCTGGCAGACAGTTCTGGTTAATCATCCAGTTCTAGACTTTAGTCTTGTTCCAGAATTTGAGTTTTGCATGCACATCCATTTTACAGATCTGGCTTACACGTGTGCAGACTGTTGGCTGCTTGTTTCTCAGGCATATATTTTACGATTTAAAGGAAACACCCCTAATTAGTTGCCTCTTATGACATGCTTGTTGAAAAAAAGGGGGCGGGGGGTCAGTGGGTCTCTTCTTTGTTTTCTAAAATGGATCCCTGGAATCCACATGGGAGAATCTAGTAATTTTTATAATTGAATATTTCATAATTATATTTCAGGAACCCAATCCTGAAGATCCTCTTAACAAGGAGGCAGCAGAGGTTTTGCAGACCAACCGGCGCCTTTTTGAACAGAACGTGGCCAAATCTATGCGCGGTGGACATATAGGCAACATCTACTTTGAAAGGTGTCTGAAATGATAACCACTGACTTATTTCTGCAATAAATGATACACAGTGTATAGTCTTGCACTGGAAAGCATTGATTATTTGGGTGATATTATGTCTCCTATGTAATGTGCCCTTTCCGGAACTTTCACATCCATATTGTGCATGGATTTGTTGCTTAATTTTTTTTTTTGGTTTGCAATTGTATGTCATAATTTTATCACAAGCTCTGATATAAAGTGTAAAATTTATTTGGATTGTAATGTGTCTTGTATAGAATGCTGTGTTTGGCTCATTATAGTTCGTGGTGTACGTGAATTTGCAGATGTGTGTGTGTGTGTGTGTGTTCTGTGTATCAGTAATCTGGCGTCTAGGTCTGGGGTGGGCAAGCTGTGGCCCACGGGCAAAAACTGGCCTGTCGAGCAGATTTTACTAACCAGCAAGGCTGGTGTAAAATTACTATATAATCTGGCCCTTGAGCTCACAAAATATGTTAAATTTGAATGTTGAATTAAGATTCGACATCATAGCCCTCTGGACACTCACATAAGCGCTCTGTCCCCATCTTCAGCAGCAAGCAAAGAGTTCCAATTCCGATGGCACCAGTAACTGTCTGATTGTATGTCCGTCTTGCCCTTCTTCTGAGTGTTGATTGTCTGCCTGATGCACTGGTCACTCCCCGCAGTGCCATTCTCCTCAGACCATAATGATCTATTTGTGTCTCTGCACTGTTCACTTACTCCCAAAAGGCCCTCACAATATCTAGCTTGTCATACATCACTTCACCACCGAGTGGTGCAGAACTGGCCAGCATATCTGCTGCTTATTTCCCAAAACTAGCATGACCTGGAGAAAATATCCAAAGGACGCTAAATACCCGGGCCCTCTGAAGCGATGCTTACCACTCTGCACAGAACATCCCTTTTCCTACCTTTCTAAACATACTCTGTGATTCAGTTACAATTACGGCATGTGTGCTCACAAAATAGCAAAATACAAAACCATACGTTATAAACATAACACCCATATTTCCTCATAACATGATATTTTTGTGGGATAATCTAAGACTGAGATGATCCCAAAAACTTATCATGTTTCGGAGGTCTGGCTGTCATGTTTATAAAGGATTGATTTCTATAGGGCCACGAGCAAGTAAGTAATTCTAAGTTCAGCCCACAGATAAAAAATGGTTGCCAACCCCTTGATCTACGTAGCCTTTTGTTATAATCCATGCCTGTTGCATTGGTAATTATGTCTATACACAGCCTTCTGTCTCATGTGTTACCAATCATTTTTTCTTCTTCACATTCACGGGCTGTAAACTTCAGCGGAAAGTTCCGGGTGTTCGTCCACCCGTCTGCAGCTTCTATAATTTTATATTTTTTTTACTAATTGATCGATGGCCATGATTCACTTCTTTACATCAGGATTGGCTATATAAAATTAGTTGCGTATATTTTTTTCAGATTATTGCAGAATCAACCCCAGCATGTCTTTGGCTATTATGATTTTAGTAGATAATTTCATGTTCATTAGTTTGCCATTGCAGCAAAAACATGAAGAACAACTAAGGCAATTACTAATTAACTACAAAATTTCGTTAACTTTCAGGGCAGGTGATAAAAGTAATTAAAAAAAAAGGTAAAGGACCGTTTTCCGCGCCTTTAGGCATATAGGGCTAGACCTATATTTTTTTAGACCAATCAGCTCAAGATGGGTGATGTGGTCAGCATCACGCTGGTTCCCTTTACTTCCCGGGATTGCACCCGGTACCCACTCAAGGCTGGGTCAACCTGGGAGCCAAGGTCATTTTTGAAAAAAGTCTGGCTCTGCCAGGGAGCGAACCCACGACCTTCCGATCCGCGGCGAGCGTCTAGCCGCTCTGCCAGGGCGACTCCCATAGGGCAGGTGATGATAATGGTTATTTATCAGTAGTAACGGACCTTTTTCATGCCTTTGGCACACTGCACATATGGTACTAGACCCACATTTGTATTGACCAGTCAGCAGCAGACAGGGGATGCAGTCATTACGTTGGCCACCTTTATTTCCTATAACATTTCCCAGTTCCCATTTTAGCCTGGGTCCACCCAGGAGCCCTGGTAAATTTTAAAAAATCCACCATATGCAGTGCAGGCCGCTTAAGGTGATCACGGATGAGGTGAATTTCTATTGTAAAGATCAATTTGTTTATTCCCTGCTGTTTTTTTTTTTGCTTGAACTCTTATCTGGATAAAAGGAATTTCTGATAAGAAGAACTATTTCTTAGGTCCCTGGTGAGTTATCCTTATCAGGTATGCACTGTATCAGTAGTTTTCATAATTAAATTGATTATGCAGTATGGTTGGCTTAATGGTTAAGAACACAAGACTCTGGCGTGGAAGACCCAGGTTCAAATTTTTGGTAAGCTGGGGAATTTTTTTTTTCTGTCAGGGGCAAAAATACTATCCTAACCTGCACAGTCGTGGTGGCAGCACTAGACATGCGGCCATAAATCCTCAGTCTCAAATACCCACCTGCTTACACCGCAGAAGTGGCAAATACAGACAGTTGTGACTGTGTGATCGTAGCTAACAGTTAAATAGAGTGTCTGGGGTGTGTGGAGAAAATGTAACGGCTACTGTAGACATGCAGTGAATTCGCCAATAAAATAATTGATAACCTTTAAAGTGAGAAAAAGTGTTTGAATCTTCTTCTTTCAGCATTCTGAACCCTTAAGGTTCATTGCTGTAGATATCACCCGCTTCCATTCATCTCTCTGGTTGGCCTTCTCTTTCCAGTTGGTGACACCAAGTGTTTGCAGGTCTGTCTGGACGTTATCTCTCCATCATCTTCTTGATCTGCCTTGTGGTCTACAACCATTCATCTCCCTTGTGTCTACAGTTTTCACTTCTCTGTCATCTGCTATTCTTTCAACATGCCCCAACCATTTCAGTCTATTTGCTCTCTTGATGCCAGTTATCAATGGTGATTTAAACAGATTGTGAATTTCGTTGTTGCTTTTCACTCTCCATTTCCCGCTGTTTGCATTTTTGATGGGTCCAAAGATTCATCGTAAGACTGTTTTCAAAAACATGTAATAAGGCTTCATCTCTTACTTGTGCTCGAAGTTTCAGAGCCATATAAAAACGACTTGTCTTATCAACATATTATATATATTTTGATCTTGGTGTTGTGAAACAGACACTTTGACTTTAGCAGGTGTTGAAGGACATAGTATATTTTATTTCCAGATTGTATTCTAGATTATATTTCTTCTCTCAGCATGTTGGAGCAGTTGAAGTTTGCCTTCAAGTACTAATATGTTTCCGTTCGTTTGATTTTCATATTATCGAGTTTATTTCCTTTCTCTGTCTCGTTATTATCATGTATTCTGTCTTGATTGATAACTAAACCCATTTTCTGAGCTGATTCTTTTAAGAGAGTCAGCATTTTAACAGTCTCTAGTTAATTCTCTCCAGCGATATCAATGTCATCAGCATATCCAAGTGTTCTTGTAGATTCTCCTACAGTTAAAAAAAAAGTGTTTGATTGCAATATAGAATCCTTGTTGTTGCTTGCAACTTATTGCCATCATTTTTCCTTTGGAGTAAACAAGGAAGGCCGAGAGAGGGATAAAGTTGCATGGGCAACACATGGTCTCTGCAATGCTGCTCATGTTTTTTGCTGGGTAGAGGATGGTGCCCACTTGGACAGAATGCCTCCTGATGATATACCATACAAGGCATATACCAAAAGAGGAGAAGAATGTAGAACAAGAGGTAGGCCAAGAACAAGATGGGAAGATAACATCAGAGAAACTCTAGTCTATGGTTGAAGTTGCCAGAAGAGCACGAAGCAGGACCTAATATCTCCCTTGACACCCAAAGTGGCAAAAGAGGACGTAAAGAAGAAAAAGATGATGATGCCATGGTCAGTCCCTTCTATGATTCATGTCCCATGAATCATACATGTAGTGATATGGATTCATGAGAATAGGATGCTGTGGATCAAGCTGCATTGAAGAGGTAAATTAGGAAGTAACTAGGGACAAAGGAGAAACGATTTACATACAGGTCAAAAACTGAGCTTTTGTGAAGAAGCAAGTCAGATGCATGAGCTGACAACAATAGTCCTGAAATGCATGCACTTATTGTGGAAGACTTGCTGGTCACACATCTGATCATCATTAGCAATTCTTCTTTTTGTTCTCTGGCTGTAAGTCCTAGCTGTTCGTCCAATTGAACTGTGGCTTTTGCTAGGGCCTTGTTTTGCATGTACATCCATTTCACTTGTGTGCAGTTTATTGTTCCTTGCCGCGCGGGCAGAGGCACTTTCACTTAGAAGGAATTCCCCAGTGTGGGTTCCGGGGTCCCATTTTAGGGAAAACAAGAATAGACCCACTACCTTCCCAATAAGCATGTCGCAAAAGTCAGCTAATTGGGAGCTTCCTTCGAAGCCTGAGTGGCAAGGAACAACAAACTGCACAAAAATAAGCCAGTTAAATGGATGTATGCGCAAAACTGAAGTCCTGGGACAAAGCACCCAAGTGGGCGAACAACCAGTATTTTCTGCTGGAGCTTAAAGCCGATAATCAAAGAAGAAGTTAGCTTCCAATTAGTCCACTAGTAAGATCGGACGTCCGTGTATATTTTTGCGCACGTTAAAAAAAATCCCTTGGCCTAACGGCGCTGCCCTAGCAAAATTAAAAAATCTACCCAAAGTAGTTCAGGATCCTCTCCCGTGCTACGGAATTCGTGCAGTACACTAAGATTCTTCGGGCTCAGGCTTAAGTTAGAAGTAAAACGGAACACTTATAGGTTACTACCCGTGAGCATGTTGTTGATCCGTTGTTAAAATCGTCATTACGGCAGCTTTCCCTGATCGTCGACAGAAAAAAAAAAACTAGGTGGGGCTAAAGCATGGCCGCCTAACAACAGCTGAACATGGCTCAAGGGACCTAAGTCTTGTCTATGTGCGCAGTTATAATACAAATATTATGAGCTGTGTGGCAACTAAGTAAAATATTTGAAGTAATATGAAATTTAGAAACA